ATGGATGGATGGATGGATGGATGGATGGATGGATGGATGGATGGATGGATGGATGGAAAGTCTTAAGCCCAGTTTTATAACTGGACATTGTGTCAGCCTTATGGACAGAAACTGGAAGTTGGTTCCACAAAAGAGGAGCCTGATAATTGAAAGATCTTCCTCCCATTCTGCTTTTTTCTCCATCCCAGTATTCACTGGTTAACTGGTCACCATTAACTTCACACAGACTCTCCCACTGGTATATCTTCATCTTTAAATCACTTCTTGGTCTGCTGCCTTCATACATCTCCTCCTACATGTCTCTGCGTGAGTGCAGCTACAGCGTGCGCTCTCAGGACATCATTACCTGCAGTGTCCCCTCATTATGGACTGAACTAGGCAACAGGACCTTCTCCTACTCCGCTCCTGTTTCCTGGAATATCTTGTAAAAAGATCTGAAGCTCTCAACTCTGACCTCCCTCAAAGATTTTAAACAACTGCTAAGTTCATGGCAGAAACAAACGCAGACATGTTCCTGTTTTTAGTGTTTTTCATCGTTTTATAATGTAGCTGTTTTTGTTTCAGTTGTATATCATTTATTTTATTTACTTTTTGTTTTGTATGCATTTATATGATTGTCTATTGTTGTCTGTGCAACGCAGTACAGAGCCACTGTAGTGACCACCCTCCTGTACGGCTCCGAATCATGGGTATATACCACTGCCATATTCATTAACTCAAGCACTTCCACCAACGCTGTCTCTGCTCCATCCTCAACATCTACTGTACTGATTTCATAACCAACGTGGAGGTCCTCCAGCAGATGGAGATCGCCAGCATCGAGGTAATGCTGCTCAATACTCGTCTACGTTGGGCAGGGCACATGTCCAGGGCGGAGGACCACCGCCGACCAAAGATTGTATTGTATTACGAGCGCCACAGAAACGCTACAAAGACCTCACCGAGGCCTCCTGAATGTGATTATATCGACCCCCAAAACTGGTGCACGCTCACCGCAACACCTGGCAGTCAACCATCCCCGAGGTGGTGGGCTCCTTCGCAAAGAAAGACGCACCAGCCTGGAAGATAAGCGACGCAGAGATAGATCAGAGCACCCACTCCCACCCGACCAGACCTTCACTTGCAGCCGCTGTGGCCGAGGCTGCCGCTCCTGGATCGGTCTCCTCAGCCACAAGAGGGTCTGCAGTCTTGGACACCCTTCAGTTCAATTCAGTTCAGTTCAGTTCAATTCAGTTTATTTATATAGCGCCAAGTCACAACAGAAGTCATCTCAGGGCACGTGATCTTCAGAGACGAAGCGAAGCCAGAGATTATTGTCTGTACCTCATTTGTGTTCTTTGTTTAAATCAGGTCTCTCTTGTAAACGAGTCCTTGCGATTCAGTGAGACTAACCTGTATAAATAAAGGTTGAATGAATTAATGCTGTTGGAAACTACTGCACTGAGAGCAAAGTGTTCTGTTGGGCGCAATTAATAATAATCAATTAATTATTATGTTTGTTTGGACAGGCTTTCATATGTAGGTTATAATAAATAAATAATAAATAAATAATAAATAAATAATAAATAAATAATAAATAAATAATAAATAAAATAAAAATAAATAGTCACTTCAGGTCAGAGAAACTCTTTGAAGCTTCATTCTTTCTGTTGATTGGTCAGTTCCCTGTCAGTCAAAAGCTTCCTTCGTCCTATTGGCTGAAAGTGTTTTTAGGGGGCGGGCGCATTCTTCTCGCACTCTCCGGGGCGGGACTGCTGGGTCCAGCAGGAAAACTACAAGAAAAGGCGAGTATCTGTTTTTAAACGATCGTAAATGACGGCTCGGATCGACCCTTTGTGGGGCTGCTTTGTGTCGGTGGAACCATCAGAACCGGAAGAGTTCGGGTTGGTTTGTTACGGCTTGACAAAAGTGCTAATTGTTCCCCAACAAACTGAGCAAACTTAGCATGCTAAAGCTAGCTGCTTGTGATTAGCTAGGCTAAGTTAGCTAGCACTTCCGTAAAATCCAAAAACCTTTAATATACATTAAAAACGATAAGCTGCATTCGACTTTCGTAACTTTTATGAACACTTGAGCTGATAGTTACCACTGTCTTTCACATATGAGCTAAATAAATGAGTCAGGAAGCTGAAGAAACCGTAGATTTACTTATTTCTCTGAAACGACTGAAAACTGAAGAACGTTTTTATTGTTGGAGACAACTCGTTTAAACTAATAATACCAGCGCAGTTCTTTCAGGAAGACGTCTAATAGTTGATATAAATGTGTGCAAAACAACTGTCATTGTTGTGAAAGTTGGAGACTTTAATGAAATAAACGTTTGTCACCATCTGGAAACTCAGAGACAGTTTCTGTCCAAAATGTGAAACAGATTGTTTCTCATTTCAGTTTTCTGTTTCTGATACGTTTTCAAGATTTATTATGATTTTATTGAAAAACTTGGTCTGTGCTTGGCATGTTTATAAACTTTTAAACTTGGAACAACCTGGGAAAGCTGTAAGAACGTTTTTAAAATCACAAACTTGGCTCCAAGACATTTAAACATTACTGCATGTTCAGTAAAAGTTACTTCATTAACTTTCAGGTTTTATCTACATTTGATCATTTCTTACAGTTTTTTGTCCATAAAGCATTTCTAACTAAGTAAAACTTATGTTGCTCCTCCTCGTATGATTAATGTAAACGTTGTGTTTTGGGGAGCGATTGGCTTGGAGACGTGTGAAACCATAATTTGATGTTTTCATGTTTGGGTTGGTTGTCTTTAACTGGTGGTCTGGTTAGAGAAGAAACAGGAAGCTGCAAAATCCCTGTTGCCAAAGACCGACTGATGAAATCTGCAGCTCGTCTCATCGATTCACAGCTGAAGAGCCCGCTTCTAAAAAGTTTACTGTCTCTTCAGTACATTCACACTAATTTACTGCATCTTATTTCTAAAACAACTCTGTTTTAACGTCACTGAACTTTGTTGACATGAAAGGATTGTCATAATTTGGCACCTTTGATGGTAAATATCTTAATTTTCTTGCCTTCCAGATGGCTGCGATTAGGAAGAAGCTGGTGATCGTGGGCGATGGAGCCTGTGGGAAGACATGTCTCCTCATCGTGTTCAGCAAAGACCAGTTCCCGGAGGTGTACGTTCCCACCGTCTTTGAAAACTACGTGGCCGACATCGAGGTGGACGGTAAACAGGTGAGCCGACATGTTTTGTTTGGACGAAGATGAATCCGTCAGCCTTTCTCAACACGGCGTGCTGGATGATGGACGAACGTTTTCAACTTGCAGCTCTTTGAGGATCACCTGCTTGGAGCTGAACCCTACTTTCTACCTGTCGGACTGTAATCTCTAATATTTATATTGCCAACCAAAGGAATGAGGACAGATTGTGTCTTTGTGACAGGCTGTTGTGGAAAAACTTTGAATCATCTGCACGTTTCTGATTTATTGAAGTGCACCACAGAAATGAAGGTAGACGGGATATGAGCAGTTTTTAGTAGTTTTTATTACCGGGACATTCAGGGCCGAAGCCTCCGGTGTTTTCTGTTTGCTGCAGCTGTTTGGAGCTACACATTTTGTCTCAAATCTTCTGAACATGTTCAAAATGGAAGCAAGGAGACGGTGGGCATCTTCCTCATTTAAAGAAGTTAAATAGTCTTCATCACCCAGTGAGGTGCTGGTTTCAAGATGATGGAGGTTCAGGAGCTACGTTGTCATTTCTTCAGTATCTTCTAGTTTGTGTTAAAGAGACTTTGACATCAAACATAAAAAGGTTCTCCTGAACGATCAGTTTCCAAGAGTTGAGTCCGGGATGTTTCCAGATGTGTTGGCACACAACTCTGAAGCGCCCAGACTGAAGTCTGTAACGAATATGAGTGAATGGGACAAACGGAGCGTCTGGGGGACGACGTCTGGTTGGAAATAAAACCGTGAATCTGCTGCTGAACGTGACGGAACAAGTAAAACATGTCGGGGATATATATTCGAGATACGCTACAAACACGGAGCTTCTTCTGGACCCGTACGTCTCAACCTGAAATATGTTTTTATCTGATGCTTTTCTCAGAAAGCTGAGCGTAAAAACGAGCCAACAGACTCAAACTGTCGGACTTCTCCGTCCCGACCGGCTCTTCCATTCACGTCTCCGTTGTTGACCTAATTTAAACAAACACGCCGAGCGTTGGCCGATCACAGTGAGAGAACCCACCGATCAACCAGCGGTCCTGACGGACTCTTAATCTTCTTCTTTTGTCCTTTCCCTCACAGAGAGTCTTCCTCCATCTCACTCTGTCCTCACTCCAACCACCTCCATGTCCTCTCTAACTGCATCCATACATCTCCTCTGTCTTTTTCCAGGCAGCTGCATTTCTAACATCCTTCTACCAGTATACCCACTGTCCCTCCTCTGGACATGTCCAAACCACTGTCCCTCCTCTGGACATGTCCAAACCATCTCAGTGTGTCCTCTCTAACTTTATCTCCCAGGTGTTCAACCTGTGCTGTACCTCTGATGATCTCATTCTTGATCTTCTTCATCCTTGTCTCTCCTAAGGAGAACCTCAACATCTTCATTTCTGCCACTTCCAGTTCTGTCTCCTGTCTTTTTGTCCATGTCTCTGTCTCCAGACCATACAGCACAGCTGGTCTCGCCACTGTCTTGTAAACTTTTCCTTTAACCTTTTTTCACAAATCACTCCTGAAACTTGTCTCCATCCTGCCTGGACTTCTCCGAGTCTCGATGCGTTTTAATAAACACGTGAACTAATAAGATGTCCTCGGATGTAAGGTTGCATCATCCTGTTTCCTCTCAGGTGGAGCTGGCTCTGTGGGACACGGCGGGCCAGGAGGACTACGACCGCCTCAGGCCTCTCTCGTACCCGGACACCGACGTCATCCTCATGTGTTTCTCCATCGACAGCCCCGACAGCTTAGGTTTGACCTCGCCCGCCGCCTTCGTTAAACGTGCTCTCTGCTTTCCGTCCCGCTTCGTTGTCCATTCACGGCTTTGTGTTCGATTCAGAGAATATTCCTGAGAAATGGACCCCGGAGGTGAAGCACTTCTGTCCCAACGTGCCGATCATTCTGGTGGGGAACAAGAAAGACCTGCGGAATGACGAGCACACCCGCCGAGAGCTGGCCAAGATGAAACAGGTGAGGTTCGACGCCGCACGTGTTTTTACACGCTCGGGTTACGTGCTGCAGATTCCAAACACGCAGCAGGCGTGTGCCGCCACTCCATTCTCCTTCAACGCTAACTTTTTATTTACGCTTCATAAAGAATAATCCAACTGCACTCAGTTCTGTGCTAAAGTCCTTCGTTTCATTATCTTGTTCAGAAATGAGGAAAAAGAGCCATCTCTTCTGATTTGAGGGTTTTATGAATCATAAATAACAAAAAGCCCAAAAGATGATTTTCACACAGCCTTTCAAACGATCTGGAGTCTTCTCGTTTTGGACAAGTGTCTGTGATGTGAGATGATTTAATGGAGCATGTTCAGGATGACTCTCAGCTACTACCACACCTAATTTTAGCTCAGTATCTGTAAAATTGTGTTTTTTTTTAATGCACTTGGGTTCAGATGAAAAATATTTTAGGACCCTGCAACTGAAAGAGTTCGACGTCTCACGACTGCTCAGCCTGTCGTGACGGTTGGTCTTTGAAAACGGCCGAGCGAGGACAAAAGAAGCGTTCGCGTGTTCCTTTTAATTTGTTAACGCAGCCCGACGTTGACTCGAATCTGTTCTTCGTCCCGACAGGAACCGGTGAAGTCGGAGGAGGCGAGGGACATGGCGAACCGGATCAACGCCTTCGGTTACCTGGAGTGCTCGGCCAAGACGAAGGACGGCGTGCGGGAGGTGTTCGAGATGGCCACCAGGGCGGCGCTGCAGGCCAAGAAACGCTGCAAGAAGGGCGGCTGCCGTCTGCTATAGAGGGTCCGGTCCCAGAGGGTCCGGTCCCAGAGGGTCCGGTCCCAGAGGGTCCCAGACTCAAACATTCCTCCTGGTTCGTCATCACAGATTTATGTTCAGCTCGACGGGGAAGAGTGAAGCTAATTGAGCGCAGCCATGAAATATAACCAACAGAAAGGGAGAATTCACATTTAGACATTTATGTTTCGCCTCTAAAATATTTTAAACCGGCGCCGAGGATTGAACCGAACAGAGAGAACGATTTGTTTCATTCACCCAGAGCTGAAAGACTCGGCTCTGCGAAACACGTTTGGTTCTTTAAAAGAGACTGTTCAGACATTTGAAGTGGCGTTCTGAGCAGTCAGTGTCTCACCTGTTGCAGGTAGCTCTTAGAATGGAAACGCGCTTGTTTATGCTCAGCAGACGAGATTTATCGACATTTGGATCATTTCTCACTCGGGAATCACGTGAAAACAAAACTCGACCTTCGGTTTCTTCTTCGTGTGTTTTCAGGCGACGAACACTTTTGGCTGAAATAAAAAACTGTCCACGGTTGTCGAGCTCCGAGTGAAACGGACACAGAAAAGCGCAGCGATGCTTCTGGCTGGATTCTGACGAGTTTACGGATTCAGACGTTTTAAGAAAAAACATTTTTGTATTTTTCTTTGAATGTTTGACATCCTGCCCC